CGAACTCCGGACCCTACCCCCGCCGCCCATCGAGGTGCCCTAACCGTGGATAGGCGAGGGTAGAGTTCGGACTTCGCCACCGACCCTTCCTCCGGGCCCATTTTTCGTCCTGCGCCCGTCTTTACAGCCCTGCGGCCTGAGACGGGCCTCGGGAAAGGAAAACGGAGTCCCCCAAACTCTCGACTCCTTCCCTGAGGACAAGTCCTCGTCTCGGCCGATTTGTTGGAGCAGAAATTACCAGCCAACCGATGCTCCGGAGCAAAAATTACGGAAGGCCCCAAACTTGGCCAATGCCTCAAATTGGGTGGGGGACGAACAACATGACAACAAAACGGATCACGAAGAGGACGGACAGAGGCCGAGTGGGACAGGAGTGCGCTCGCTGTAGGATCACGTACAAGAGCAAGAGACGCCATGCATCTGCGCCCACTGAAACAGTCGGCGGAGCTCCGCATAGACCATGATACTCGATAAGTACAGTACAGCACGGGAGCCCTGCATCTCGATAGACCCGTTGTCTGGATTGCGGGCTACGGGCAAACGCTGATATCAGAGGGCTGGCGACACGCATACCAAAAAACACGCACAAACACCTCGCCCCAATATGACGACGATGGACGACGACGACTACAAAAATGGAACATCCACGAGTATTGCCTCTCGTACATCCAGCACGCTAACATTTATCTTGCATGTCTTGTGCGCCATCGCTTGGCCCAGTTAGTTTAGCGTGCCGACTAGATTGCGCGCGAGCCGCCACAGTAGAGAGCGATCGCCACGCAGTGCAATCAACGCATACAGCAATACTTGCAAATCCACTCACATACTCTACAAAAGTTGCGCGCCCGCGCGCTCAACTCTGGCGGTACAACGCTACACGACAATCGGGAGCAAAGAGTGTTCTAAGCGTGCCGCAAGTTTTCGCAATTAAAGAGCATCGACGACCGTTCTGCATGTTTTCATTGGTCGAGAAGATTCGACCACACAAAATTGAGCACGATGACGCTTGACCACACATATCTGAACATTGTACACGAATGAAATAATGCACCACGTATAGGCAGATATGCAAATCACAAACACAGACGTCAAAAAAACATGTACATGCATACGTAAACACACAGTGGAAAGAATGTAACACCATCACCTAACACCATAATCCAGACAATGTTTGTATGCGACCTAGCTCACTATGTCAGACGAGGCTACGGATCGCGATGCGACCCCCAGGAGTCAGCCGGAAAACTAAGTTCCAACACGTCCAGCACATATGTGGCGGCCCACATGTCTGAGACGTGAAAGCATAACCCAAGCAATCCCTCTTTTTTCGCACCACATCTCCGGCACTCAGGAAGCTCTGGCTGGACGAAGGCCAAAACGTGCGCAGCACCAGACCGAGACGTGGCGCCACACATCTCGACGGCGAGGCCTTCTGGGGGCGCGGGGAGGAGGGTGAGTCACGGCTGATGCCAGTATTCGACATCACGGAAGGCTACAAGTCAGGCTATCCCTCTTTTCTCGCACCATATCCCCAGCACTCAAGAAACTCGGGCTGGACGGGGGCCAAAACGAACGCAGCACCAGACCGAAACGTGGCGCCACACAACTTTAAGGCGAGACCTTCTGCCCACACGTCCATACCAGATGTGCGTAGAGCCAGCGCGGAGCTCTTCGGCCGCGATACGCATCGAATTAGAAGCACTCAGACTTTGCCACGCGCGAAAGAGTCACGCGATCGCGCGAGCAGGCCGGGCAACGCAGCGGCGAAGCTCCTGATGAGCTCTCGCGAGGCCGGCGACAGGTTCGGAACGAACGCGACAGCAGACCCGCCCTCGAGGGCCAGCAGCCACGACTCGAATTCGGCCAGGAGCAGCTGCTTCGCGCACGCGGTCTGCGCGCCCGTCTGCGGCCGCAGGCGAAGGTCGACCGCCGGCCTCACAGCTGGGCGCTCGCCTGCCACACGAGCACCCTTGGCGATCCCCATCAGCGTCGCGGCGAGGCCGCACATCACGGACAGTGGGGCCGCCGCAACGGAGCCCTCGCCAGGATAGCACAGTGCGTTGTCGAAGTCCATCAGCGCCCACGTCAGCACCAGCTTCAGGGCCAGGCGGCACCACTCGGACTCCGCGCGCCGCTGCCTGGGCACGCGAGTCCTCTCGTCCAAGTACTTCACGTTGCCCGCCTCCGCCAGCCCCCACTACGCGGGCGGCCCGGCAGAAGGCGGAGCGACTCCACGACCACGAGAAGGCCCGTCAGCAGGGATCCGGCGCGCGGTCGCGAAGTCGCACACAGGGTACATGTCGTTGATGGCATGCGAAGCGGAGCGCCGCCCCCTGGCGCACGCTCCGAGAGCCTTCGTCGAATCCAGCAGGAAAGGCTGTCTGGCCCCAGGAGCCTCCCAGGCCGCTCGCTCGCGCGCCTTCAGGCGCGCGCAGACCTCCAGGCGGTTAACGCGCGCGGCGGGAGGACTGGGCTCACAGCAGAAACCACGCCACTGGCAACACCGCAGCAGGTCGTTGACGAAAGGCTGCTCCAGGCGCCCAGACGAGGCGGCCGCCGGCGGCTCTGGGACGGCCAGGGGCGCCTCGGCAGCCAGCTGAGCCCGCGTCAGCTCGGCCAAAGCGGCGCACAGCAGCTCCGCGCACGCGGCGGCGGCCGCCGCGCGGGCGGCCCCCACCAGCGCGCGCCGATGGGCCAGGCTCCCATGCACGCACGGGCGCGCCAGAAACTGCAGGTGGCCACCGCGGACCAGACCCAGCCTCGTCGGCTTCTGGAAGGGCGCGCCGCAGGCGCAGGCACCGTAGCCCAGGAAGCCGCACTCGGGCTTGCCGAACAGCCAGCGCAGCGGTGCCATGTGCCACGCGTAGGCTCCAGCGGGGTGCTCCAGAGCCCCGTGCCTGCCATGCTTGCACACCGTCCACAGGATATGCAGCGCGCGGAAGAGCAGCACGTTGCAGACGGGTGACCTCGTCCTGCGGCTCCAGACCCAGCGGCTGCGCCCTCGACCTGAGGCGCGGCTGCCGAGCCAGGGAGAAGGTGGCGCAGGGCGGAGCGCAATGCACGTGGACGACACGGTCGTTGATCATGAGACACCGAATCCGCTCCATAATCCTGATCGGCCGGACGTCCCAGAGCGGGCGGATCTCGATGTCAACCCTCGGCCCCGCGCCCAGCCCGACGGCGGCATGCGAACTGGACCAAGGCGCAGGAGCGCCACAGACCTCAAGCACGTCGAAGACTTCCAGCAGGTTCCCGCGCAGAACGTTGGCGCCCAGCCCCAGCTCCGCGTCGATGTTCTGCAAGAAGGCTCTGTCCTCCCGGCGCTTGTGCGCCCGGAGATAAGCGACCTCCTGGCTGCTCAGCTGCGCATGCCATCTCCGCTGGTCACGATGCCTCCACACCTCGCGCACGATGGGCTGCGCCACGTCCACCACGACCGAGGCCATGCACGAGGGCGACGCGTCGCTGCACACGACCTTGGAGACGACCTTGGCCTTGAGGTTCGTGACCAGCGTCGGCGCCAGCATCAGCTCCTGCCTCGCGTTCGAGGTCAGCTCGACGACGCCGTCGTCGCGCGGCACCTCCGGGAGGGCGCGGAATACCGCGCCCAGCAAGCACATCGCTGGGCGTCGGAAGCCAAGCACGCGCACCCAGCTGGCAACGGCCCCCCCGAGCAACGCCCCAGCGGAGATGCCGCGCGCGACGACGCCAGAGGACAGGAGAGCCAGACCAGCCCGTCGCAGCCGCTCAGCGCCCAGACGCCCCGAAACCTGCAGCTCGGCACTCAGCGCAACGCCCGACGTCGGGCCCGTCACGCGCTCGTCGTCCGCCGCGCCCAGGACAACGCACGCGCACTGCTCGCGCGCCGCCTCGAAAGACCGCCCAAGCGCCTGCGGGGGCCGACGCAAGCCCGCAGCAGGTTGCCCGAGGCCCACGCGGCCGTCGATCTGCAAGAAATCCGCGCGCTCGCCGCGAGGGCCTGCGGCGCTGCACTCGCACGGCGTCGGCGAGCGAGCCGCCGAACTGCGGCACCGACTCGCGGGCAGCATGGGCGAAATCGATAGCGCCCAGGTCCCCCATGAGCAGGCTGCCCACACAGATCACGCAGCGCCGCCCCAGCTCGGCGCGACGCGCCGCGCAAGCCCCCGCATGCTGCATCAGGTGCGTCGGCACCTTCCTGGCCAGGACGTTGGCGCGCGCCTTGGCCGGCGATGCGTCGAACGCCAGGTAGAAGTCCGACACGTCCTCGGCGAAGAGCACGGGGACCGCCACATCCAGCAGCTCTCAGTCACACAGCGCTTGCCCAGCCACCACGCGTTGGCCACCGGACTGGAAGGCATGCTCCGAGGGGTTCCTGATGCGTCTGTCCCAGACAATGCGGTCTCGGTGCTGGTCTCGATACACAGGGATGGCATTGCATTCTTGGGCCAAGTCCACCTTGTCGGGCTTCGCGAGGACCACTTGCGCGACCGAAGCAGGTCGGACGCGAAGACCACGATCTCGGCCAGACTCCCCGCCTGGCGCATCGGCCGCAGCCCGCGCTCAAACGGCTTCTCGCGCTCCGCAGGCGACGGATCCAGATTGGCCACCGCCTCGAAGACCAGGAGGTGATAGATGGGATCGAAGTGCGCCTCCTTCTCGCAGAAGATCACGCGGCTTGCCAGGAACGGCATCACCGCTAGGGGAGGAGGGGCTCGCACCCGATGTCCTGGCACGGCTCCTCGCATCTGCAGTCCGATTTCGAGAAGCCCTTGCAGCTTCACCTTGCAACGGCTGCTCGTTTGGCAGGGCGAGCGGCACCACTGCTTGGCAAGGGCGAGGAGGTGACGCAGCCTGCTACCCTGCACCTCACTCAAACCCACCCCCGTCCGACGCGACGCCAGGCACCAGCGCTGCGAGCCCAGAGCCAAGAAAGAGTACACGACAAGCAACAGGTTCACAAGCAGCTTGGCCACCTGCAGCTTCTTCCAACGCCCCCTGCAGCGCGGGGCGGAAACCATGGCCCACGGGAAACGGGAAAGGCGGCACCATCGGGAACAACTTCAAGCAGGCACGAGCCCGAGACTCCGACGGTGCACCCGAGGACTGCATGCAAGAAAACTGAAAAAAAGCCAGACTAGTCCTTGCCTGTCGGCGGCGGCGCACCACCCCGATCTGCGGCCGCGGCGCCCACGCCTCGAGGTCCGCGAAGAGGCCTACAGCGCCGGCTACGCCGCCTCCTTGCCGTCGCCGCCTTTCTTGCCGCCCTGGCTCCCGCTGGGGGGCGCCCTGGGCGGCCGCTGCTCCTCGTCGCCCTTCCTGGCCCCGCCGCGGTCGTCGTTGAACTTCCGCCTGATCTCCGCGAGCGAGGCCGCGTCCTTGGCGTAGGCCATAGCAGCCGTCGCCCACGTCGCCTCGGCCAGGGGCCCGAACGGGCGGAGGCTGTCGACCGAGCCGTTGCTGCCGGGCGCCATCTGGGAACAGGGGGGCTCTGGCAGGCGCGTCAGCAACCAGGCCAGCTGCCACCGCCCGTTGTCCCGCTGAGCCCGCTCCAGCGCCGTCAGAAGCAGCAGGGCGACCGCCTCGGCCATCTCGCGCTGCCCGCGGCCCATCAGGTCCGCCACGCGAGCGAGGCCGCACCCGAGGTAGGCGGACGTTCTGTTGGCCCGATTAATCGTGCCCGTCCTCAGTGCGAACTCGACCATGCTCCGCACCCGCAGGTCCAGATCGTCGGCGGGCCTTGCGAGAGTCTGCCCCCCGTTCCTCCTGGCCTTGCCAGAGCAGGCCGCCGGCCGAGCATGGCGGCCCCTCCTGAGCATCTCCATGCCGGCCGCGCCGCGGGCCCCGGGCATTCTGCCAGGACCCGTCGTCGAGGCCCGACAGCAGCTGGCCGGCCAGCGCGTCGGGCTCTCCTCCAGACGACATGCGCTGCAGCGCGGCCACGGCGACCCAGCACGCGGCCAGCTCCGTCGGCGTCGCGCCCGCGCGTGGCGACAGGGCGGCGGGGGCCGCGGCCGCCGGCGCAGCGGCCGGCGCGGCTGCGCCCGCCTGGTACCAAGCCACGATGCCCTCGGGCGACCTGCGCACCTCGCCCTCGGTGACGTCGGCCAGCGTCGCTCCGAGGTGCCTGGCGTAGATGGCCCGCGACTGAGCCACCTGCGTCGCGGTCAGCGGCGGCGCCCCCGCCGCCCGCGGCGTTGACGCGCGGGCCGGCGGCGGCGCAGGCGGGGCGGCCCCCAGGCGGCGCGAGCGGCCGCATGCCAGCTGCGTGCACCGCCCACGCGGCCGCGGCCTGCTCGTCCACGCCGGGGCGAGGCTGGGCCCCCACCTGGGGGTGAGCGGGCCCGACGCCCGCGGCGGCGGCGAGTGCGGCGGTCGGGCGGGCGCCGCCCAGCGAGGCCGAGGGCGGCCGTCCCGCCGCGGCCTCGAGCGCCGTCGGAGCACGTCCTGGTTGTCGGCGTCCAGCCTGGCCATCACCTCGCGGAGTGAGGCGACGACGGCGCGCGGGGGCGCCGCGTCTCCGGCGGCGCGCGCGCGCCGGGGCACCCCAGGCGCTGCGCGCGCCTCCCAGGCTGCTGTCGGCGCCGCGGGCAAACTCGGCCCAGGGGTGGGCCCGCGCCCGAAGCCCCACGGGCGTCGCGGCCTTGGCGGCGGGGGCGGCAGCGGCGGCGCGCCGGGCGGCCGCCGCCGCGGCGCCCTGCAGCCGCACGGCGCCGACGTTGGCAGCGGCCGCGGCGGCGCTGCCCGGTGGCGCCAGCAGCCCAAAGAATGCCTGGCCGCCCGGCCCGACAGTCTCGTCGTCGACCACGGGCCCCGAACTTTGGCGAAGGCCACACCAGCCGCAGGACTTCGCTCCAGGGGCTGTTGCCGACCGCGCCGCCCAGCACCGAGTCGAGGCCGTCGGGGCTGAGCGCGCGCAGCCGGCGCCAGGACGCGGGCGTAGCCCCTGTCGGGGTTAACCTCGTGCTCCTGGACCAGCAGCGGCAAGTCCGCGGTAAGCTGCACCAGGGAAAGGGCGGCCAGCCAGCGGCCCCCGCAGGACCAGGTCGCGACACCCGACGCGGGCTCCAGCCATGCGCCGCAGTCCGAGCTGATCCTCACGAAGGCCGCCGTCGCCAGCTGCCTGTCGCCCGTGGGCGCGCGCGTCATCGGGTCTCCGAGGGCGACGAAGTGCGGGCTCGGCCAAAGACAGGCAGCGCCTCCGCGAGCACACCGCGATGCTTGCTGATGGGCGCGATGGGCACGGCGAGCACTCCACCCTGGGCGGCCAGATCTGGGCGCACGACCGAGACGTCCATCTACAAGGTCTGGCAGTCGTCCGCGAGGTCGACCTGCCACGCGCAGCCCCCACTCGAACTCCCCCGCACTGGGTGGTCCGCTCCGCCCAGGACGGCCAGCGCCATGCCTCGCGCCGACGCGTCACGAGACGGTCGAAGACAGGCGCGGGCAGCCAGCGCCTCCTGCTCATAAGGGAACCGACGCAGGCACGAGCCTGCACCGCAGCTGCACCGACCGTCGGGCAGCGTCGCCACCGGGGCCTTCCAAGCCGCGCCGCCGCCGCGGCGCGCGCCTCGCAGCTCCGGGCGGGAGGAGTGGCGCCACGCCGCGCAGGCCCACCTCCGCTGCGCCGCCGCGCCCCCCGCGCTTGACCCAGGCGCCTCCTCGGCCGGCGCCGCGCCAGCCCCGCATGGAGCGAGGCCGAGGGCGCCCGCCACAGGCGCCCCCCTGGCCGGCGCCACGACGGCCCCGCTGGGGGGGAGGCCGAGGGCGCGGGCCGCGCCCTCCGCCGCGGCCTGGGCGGCCGTGGTGGCGCCCCCACCAGGCGCCACGTGCACGTGGATCTCCAGATGCCGCTGGACGAGGGCGCCCGCGCCAGCCAGCAGCGGCGCGGCGGCCGCGGGCAGGAAAGCCCCGGGGCGATCCGCCAGGGGCGCAAGCACGCGAGGGGCCGCCGCCACCAGCCAGCAGCGCCGCCCAGGGCCGCCGCGCGCTCGCGGGGGCCGCCACGCCTCATGCAGCACGAGCCCGGACATGGCACTACTCCGCGCGAGCGCTGAACCGGGACGGCTGAGGCGAGTGCTCGACATTGCGACGGCCTACATGTCAACCCCGATTCTTAGCCGCCCGTAGCAGTAACACACAACAGAGCTCGCCAAAGTCCGAGGAGATTTGACAGCAAGAGCGCGCTCTCTGCACAGGGCACACTCTGCGTGACAACATATAGTACCTCCTCGAAAATTGCACATTCTCAGCCCCATTATGTCGAACCACCGTTGCGGAATACGGCAACGGCGGCCACCTTCGTGGAATGCCTGCTGCGCGCTCGAGCACGGGCGCAGGGCGCACAAATGGCGTGAACCATATGTCAAGCAAAATGGAACGCAACATCTGCACCATGGAACTGGCCAACCCAAATCTTTCCTAGGCTGCCCACGAACAGCCCTGCGGCCACCAGGTGCCTTTGGCCAAGCCCACCGTCACAAGGGAAGGTATACCATCTCAGTTGCGATGCGCCACACCATCTGACCAACGCAACTGCCTGTGCCATGCCGCGCCAAGGAAGATATTCAAACTGCAAGACGGAAAAGTTGCTCTGACGTTCCTTGGACAAGACGCCGATGCATCATCCATGCCCAAGGTTTCTACCCCGCCGCTGACATGAAGATCGGGAGCCCTTGCCGAGAAATCTTCACTCCAATCTTTCGGGCGAATCGCATCGGAATAACACGTTGGCTCCACATTCCGCAAGAAATCTCACTGTTGCCAAACAGGCTCGGCGCGCCGGTATCAAGGCACCGCGCGGCTCGCTGCCCCGGGCAACCTATTTCCCAGCACTCGCGGCAAATCGGCATGGCCACCTGCTTTCGAATTATTCGCGTTTTTCTACGTTAAACACGACTCCTGCAATGGAAGAGTTAACGCATCGAGGGCTGGCGTGTCCCCTACGTAGGCAGCCGATGTTGGGATCAGGTCTGGCACGCGAACTTACCGTTGAGCTTGCTTTACTTGTTCTGGAAATGCGTCTGGATGCTCTACACGGTCTGATACTTTTCTTGTACTGTGCCTGACTCCCACGCGCGGCAGCCCCCCCTGTTATCGCAAGTGTGTCGATCGCTCCACCGGCCACGAGCATACTGAGTAGTGCTCCTGCTTGTCCAACGACATTCAAGGTGTCATTGGAATCCTTTGTTGAACATAATATCATGGATGGCGCTGCTTTGATGTTTGCGTGCGTCCCGCCTGTTGCCATTGCCAAGGTTGATTGCGAAGTCCATTGTTGCTGTACTCTCTCGCTGGCCTTCGGCTTCGCGCTGGAAACACGGCGGGGCATGCTTGCACGCGCGATCCAACAGACACGCCCAGCGCCCATGCCTGGGTAAGCGGCGAACCAAAGCTTCGTCTACTAAGTGGATCCTCCCGCGAAAACACGCCCAAGCGGCGCCGACGAGGAATCGCTAGATGTTGAACATTGGTGTCCACCGAGGTCGACAAGTCGCGGCTGTGCAACGCCGCCTATCACTGAAGCCTGCACGCCGAGATCCTACGAAGAACTCAAGAATCCCGCAGGCCACAATCGGCTCGAGAACAAGCACTCCGGGAAGACGGAGCCCACCGAACCCACTCCCGAATCTCTGTGCGAAAGCATTCTTCTGAAGACACTTCAAAATTGTCTCTAATAGCTGCCTGTCCGACACCTGCGCTGCACTGCGGTTTGTCAATTTGCCCGAACTTCATTGAATCGGTGCCTTGTTCTTTTTCAATCTGCGCGAAACACGTTAGAGCAGCAATGTCGGAACGCTGTTGTCGGGCTTGGTCAGATCAGAAAGACATCCCGCATACGAGCTTCTGCGCGAACGTTGCGCGGAGCGCGGCTGGCAATTAAAGTAAGCATGCCACCCGACACCCTGTTGCTTAGGCGAACTGGCAGTAGCGTCGCCCCTCGAAAAGTGGCCATTGCATCTCGGGCCCGCGGAGCCACTAGGAAACGCACCACCACCAAGTCGGCGACTACGCGCACCAC